GCTTACATTAAGTTTACCTCAGCAAGAATACATAAAAAATGTGAATAAGCATGTACATTAACTTAATATTTACAATGACTATTTCCTGTTTGACTTCCATTGTCCCTATCTTGCATTAGTTCAGTTTAGAAATACCAGGAATGAGTTTGAATTCCAGATCTAGAGACAAGACACTTTTTACATTTGTTTAAACATTGGCTGCCATTCAACATCCCTAACTGTGAAATCAATCTGTTTTACCTTGAGAACTATAACATAAGGCAGAACTTCCCAATGTTGTGTGTGTTCCAGCTCAACCTTTCCCGTCACACGTGACCTCCAATGAGACTTTGGGAATTTTTTGCTAAATTTCCACTCAACCCAAACACCCCTTTCACCCTGGACTCCCCTGGCCCTCTTCCCCTTCTCGTTTTTTCCCTACTTCTTTAGGGTCCCTGCTCTTCACCACCGCGTACATTCTTACACACACACACACACATGCTCTTACAAGGAGAATTGTTTGAGCTTTCGTCCTCCTCTCATGCTCCGTACACCCCACCATCTGTTGAGCACTCTTCCAGCTGTTGGCCACTCTCACCATGCTTTGGCGAAATAACAGCCATACGAGGCGGTGACACGCAGAGACACATGACCAGAAATTGCATGTGTTGATAATTAGAGGCGGGCCGAGCTTCTAACAGGTATATCCTGTCAACGCAGGTCATAGACACATGTCGACAATGACTGGTTGATGACCTTGGAAACTGATGAAGCTGTCTGGTCTTTGTGTTGGAAGGATTACAACACAAGGTCACTTGGGTGGGAAAAGATTAGCCGTAAACCATACTAATATCTCCAAAACAGTACACAATTATGATCGGCACTTTATCTTGTGTTCAGATCAGTGAGGGCGGGTCTCGGTGTTCTGTCCAGTTGAGCCGCTTGTCGACTTGTGCTGCCTCAGCTGCTTATGATGTAATGCAAACCTGCGCATGCGCGTTTCTCGGCAGCCAAAGCAATCCAAGATGGCGGACATAAAGTCTGCGAATTGTTTAAATACGAACAAATACAGACACGAATGTCACTTTTAATGCAATTTAAGGCGAGATGTTGATGGCTTCATGTGGTGATATGTGGGTTTTAAGAGTCAAAGTTTTGTGTAAAGTTTGGTTTAAGCCAGTGGTCCCCAAACTACGGCCCGCCTCTACATTTGCTCCGGCCGCCTGAACAATACCAGAGAGTATTTTTATATATGCACTCCTGACTTTTGTTCTGTGAAGAACCCAGAGAGGGTTATTTGGTTATTATTTATTTCATAAATAGTGTTGTTATCTGTTTCCTGACTTATGTTCTGTGAAGAACCCAGAAAGGGTTATTTGATTATGCTTTCTGTAAAACAATACATTTTTACGTTTATGCACTCTTGCAATCATCACACTTTTTCTGTTACAAACTGACCCGGCCCCCATCGAAGAAGGGATAAGTTATGTGGCCCTCACAAGAAAAAGTTTGGGGACCCCTAGTTTAAGCGGCCAACTGCTCCTGTGAAACCACACTGCTGCTGTGTGATAGCAGTCCCTTTCGGCCAGACCTGTCGGGTTGTCGACTGGTCTGTTAGCTGTCGAGTTAGCCACAGGACGCGCCATCGGCCCACATCAGTAAAATTACGCATGCCACAGCTCAAATTGACAGGAAAGGGACTGCTATCACACAGTAGCAGTGTGGTTTCACAGGAGCAGTTGACTGCAAACCAAACTTTACACAAAACTTTGACTCTTAAAACCCACATATCACAACATGGAACCATCAGCATCTCGCCTCAATTTGCATTAAGTGACATTCGTGTCTTAATTTGTTCATATTTAAACTTTTTTCACAATTCACAGACTTTGCTTCGGCTGCCGTGAAATGCACAGGTTTGCATTAGATCATAAACAGCTGAGGCGGCACAACTCGACAGAACACTGGCTCCAAAAGGTCCATGAGCACGTGCGCTGACATGCTTTCAATCTCACTCCTAGCTGGTGGGGGTGTACCCGGAAAGAGAATTACCCAAATCTTTTGTACGGCGTCTTCTTTCTTCTCGAAAACGGCTTTACAGGATGGTCCAAAAGTCGGCTCTTGGCCCAAAGCTACGTTCCAGATGCTGTTGACTTCAGAAGGCACTTGTTATATGAATGGGGCTAGTTCCGGATAGCGCATGAACAAATGCATTTTTTCTGCGTCCGTTAATATTTACAGTCTGTAGTTCAGATAGGGGTACTGTAACTGACAGGTGGATGAGCCAATCATGAAGGAAAATGGTCCCTCCCTAATTAGAGCTGGGATACCCAACTAAATTACTATCTTTTCCCCCACATATTATTTGTCCCAACAGTCTGGCGAGGGAAAAATTGTGTGCTAACAAAACAGAGCACAATATGCTGTCGACCTCTAGAAAAGATGTTAGCTTTTGCAAACTGAGATGAATCACGATATGGCACTTTTGGCTGAGAGCTGATTGGCTGGGTGAGAGTGGCCCTTTCACTTTTCTGTCTGAAAAAAACTGATAAAGATAAACTAAAGATAGACTGCATAGAAGATATGACAGAGGATAAAATACTGTGTGAAAACTAGTGACAGAACCAGAACATAGATTTCATTACATAATTATATATTTTGTATAGGTATATAAGGTTAGGTACACCAGCTTTCAGACATGTGTTGGAAAATAAAAAAATTAAGTGGTTTCCAACGAGTTTCTCACACGTCACTGAAAGAAACCATGACTTTGGATTTGAGTCTGGCTTTGGTAGAACAGAGGAAGTGGCGACCAGATTGACTTCCTCTATAAAAGAACAACATTGAAAATGAAAAATATACATATAAAAGATATCTATCTATCTATCTATTTATATATATACTTCAGACATATTGTACTCAGGACTTGCAAAGGGAAAACAACATACTGTATCTTTCCAAGTTCCATTGGAAGTATTAAGTCAAATATAACTGCTACAATTGTTGTTGTTTCACTAAATGTACTATATACTATATACAGATTAATTCATTAATAAATTACAATCATGTACTTCATGAAAAATGTACCTATTATGAAAATCAGCAAAACCTGTGTGAGAATAAAACAACTTCAAGTCTAATTTTGAACATCAGCGTCAGCATTTTTTATAGCAGGTGGCTGGGAATTCCACAGAATTGGGGCATAGCACATAAAAGCACTCTGCCACATTGAAACTCTATTTGTAGAACTGCTAAAAGGAATTCTTTGTGCATTTTTAACCTTGCTTCTTATCTGAGGTTATTGATGAAAGTGTGTTTCAAATATACTGTGTACACTTCACTCTGCTGTTACAACAATAGACTGTACATAGTTCTCTTTCTAGAGTTTGTAAGAAAGAAACCAGATTATTCCAACCCACAAATATGTCCAACTGTATTTTTTTGTTTTAAGACTAATTTACACTGATGTTACTGTATGTTAATCACTCAGGTAAAAGTGTCCTTTTCCATTTACCAAACACTGAGTGACTCCACATTGCTCCTTCTCTTCATTATTCAGCTCAGTTGACTTTGACTTGTCTCTGGGCCAAAACTAAAAGTTTCCACTCCCTCCATTTACAAGCTGTTACTGTATAATGAAATGTTTAACCTGGGTATATAGTTTCCACCAAGCATGACCTTTTAAATGAGAGGCTACCCCCCCGGCATTAAAATCACTTTTGACACAGTAGTATGTACTCAATAGAGATGCAAGGTCAGTGCAACAGTTATGTATCGTGCCAGCAAATATAAAGTTCACAGGGCCTTTCAAAAAAAGAACAAAAGGCTATGTTATAACATACTACCTTTAAAAGATTTAGCCCATAAAACAGACTGGCATAAAAGCTGCACTTCACAGCATGTTACGTAACATTATCATATGGAAAGACTTAGTTAATACTGTCATTTGAGCTTTCAAGTTTTCAGCAACCTTGCCAATGTCATCCCAAATGTATTGACGTCACTTCTTTTTTAGCTCTGTTTGAGTTTTGAGTGTTGTTTAGTGATCATTTCTCCCTCAAAGTGGGACGCCACATGTAGCAGAAAGGCTTTTATATGTGTGAGCTGTTGTGATCTGTGCTTGATTAGTGTGTCCTGGTTCTCTCGCTGCACAATGAAGCGATTAGTGTACATCTGCGTGTCCAGGAGGGAAATCAAACTGCTCTCTCTAAATCTTTTGTGCATATCAGCAAACTCTGATGAAAGAAAGTGTTGTAAAATACAATGTGCTTTTGAATTCTCAAATTCACAGTAAATATAGCCATTATTGATTTGGTAGCATCATCTTTGGTACCCAATCAAAGATAATAAATTAAAAGAAACGGCTGGCTCACCAGGCACAGCAATTCAACGAGAAATATACTATAACTTAATATTATAAAGTTAAACAGATTTTGTGTGTATCAAAAACATGTTGTGTTAACACCAAAAGTTAAGAATCTTTTTTAATCAAGCTGCATGAACAAAATGGAATGTAAATCGCTGGCAACAAGACCAGACTTTTGATGCGTCTTTTGATACATAGTCATTTGTAATTGACTTATTTATTATTTTGATTCACGGCCCTGTCTCAATCCCAACATCTCAACAGTTTCCTGGAAGAAGGTAAAGAACATCTGGTTCATACATTACGATCTCAAAGATTCAGCTGATGGCAAAGTCAGAGAGGATCACATGATTCTTCTGGGACTTTTGATGAACAAAAGCAAGAGCATCTGACCGGCAGGCCTCAAGCCATAGTGAGTGTGTTTGTGTTTTTGATTAACCGCTGTGATTGGCATGCTAAGCAGGGAGTTTGCAGGAGACTTTGACCTGTCCCTTGCAGGCCATGGGAGCTGCTTAGTGTAACACACTTTTTAAATATCCCAGGTTAATGCAGGTTCTCCATGGGACCAGAGGCAGGAACTGTTCTGTCTCCAGTAGCATCCTCCTGTTCCCAAAACTGAAAACCATATGTCCTCTCTGACTCCGACCAGGCTGCTATGGAGGAGGATATAGTGGGGTACTCGAGGGGCAGGTGTGGGCGAGTGAATTGAACAAACAGGGAAGTGTTTTAAAAAGATTTAGCTTCTGTTCTGAGGTGGCTGGAAAAGTAATACATCTGTTAAATTTATGACAATGCATCAATATACTGTAAGTATAATGAAATTATAATATTACAATGCTATAAAAATACACACACATCTAGCACCACTAGGTGCAATTGTGAAACAATGAAGGTACAAGTTATATCCTACTTTGGAATAAGAAATTAAATATGTGTTATTTAATAAAAATGTTACACAGTGGGGCTCATGTTTAGGGGCCCCTAGTATTGAGTTATGGATGTGGTACATGCCTTTTGATTCAACGACAATAATGAAAAAACATTGACCCAACCATAAGACTAATATAATCTGTTGCAATGAGATTTGGGCAAATTTATGGCTGCTTTTTATGTAACAAGATGCATAGATCTTTGAGTACTCACACGGCACATTGAAAACTTAAACGTATTTCTGCGTTGGACTGGCCTAAATAAGGTCTTTTGTCCTCGTGTGTAGGCTGCTTTTAAATGTAGCGGTGACCCCCTGGTCTGCTGAGTTTACTGTAAATATAGTCTCTTACAGTAGCGCAGACAGGGGCATAGATGACAAGCCAAGGCCCTATCTGTGATGTCACGAGTCAGTAACCGGTGAAATCCAACACCAGCAGCTGTAGGAGTTGTGTTGGGGTGAATACGGATCCCCTCGCATCAGTGCAAGTCAAGGCACATAGCAAAGACCGCCGCCTGGAGGGAAAGACGTGCGCGCTGGATCTATTCGTGTTGGAGTCGAGACCTCTCTGCTCTGATCCTCCGTCCTGCAGAGCGCACGGAGCTGCAACAGTTGCGCGTCTCTGCTTTGATCAGATATAGCATTAGAACAGCAAGGAGCATCCGAGTGCAAAGGACCCCTGGAGCTTTGAGAGACTGGAAGACATCCCCATTTTGGACTTTCTGATACGATGAGGGAACTTTGACAATTGCCACTTTGCGCGTCCTTGAGCCTCTTGCTAAGAGCTGTCCCATGTCCAGTTGTCTCCATACGTGTGATTCTGTTTTCACCCAGATCTCTGCTGCCTGGACAAATGCATACAAATGCATTTAGGAGCTCAACGGACAAGGAGTGGACACGTTTCCGCGGCAGCGACGTAAGTGGGCAATTGTTCAAATGGCATGCAGATGTGAAACTATCTTTGCTCATTTCCTACTTTAATTATTCTCATGCTTGATGGTTATTCAACATGGCAACGGGCAGACTTTCTGTGCGGGAGATTCCCCTTCCAAGCAGTGCCAATTGACTCTAATTCACTCCATGTTCTCTATTACAACTTGTAGTGTTTAAGTAGGCCTCTTTTAGGTGGAAAGGTTTTTATCCGGTAAAATTGGGCTCTTATTGTGTGGCTTTGTCGGTATTTGCAAGAGATCCTCTAATAGCCATTCATCTGAACTGCATGAACTACATTTCCCATGATAATTGTGCATTCCACAGGATCTGGCTACATGTTTCTGGATTTGTAAACCACAGACAGTTTGAGTTGATGGTCTGTTTTGTTCTCCACTGTTCTTGATAAATGTGGCTGACAACAGAATATAGTTCACATTTGGCTTTGAACCTCTTTGGAATCTTTGTCAGTAATGTGTGTACCATGTGTCTGACTCATTCTGCCTTTATTTATCAAACTCAGAAGTGTGATAAGCCAGGAATGGAGAATAAATGGGTCATAACTTGGATGTCTTCCTAATCAGCATGTTTGTGATTATTTCATGTTTACTGCCTTAATAACAGTGAAGCTTATTAAACTTTTGGAGCCAGATTGGAGGATGCCATATACGCTCACTAATTGTTTAGTCTTAATGAAGCAGAACCTCTTTAGCACTTAAAGCCAAACATTCCTCATGGAAGTGTGCATTGCTGGCTCAGTGCTGGCGGCTTGCAGCCCTGTTAAATACAGCTGGGGCAGTGTAGCTCCTAAGCTGTCCACTCCTCCATAGAGGAAATTTGTTTAGTGTTATTAGAACTGAGTCCAAGCTGCTGTATTCTATTACACATATGATGTTCGAGGCTCTACAATGCAGATAGTTGTGCTCATCCTATGTGTATTTCTTCTCTGGAAAACAAAGCAGACCTGAAATCTTGAGACGACCACATTTGTACACTGTTGTATGTTGAAGTGATAATGAGAGCCTCATGGGCCTGAGAACAAGTTTGGCCTCCTTAAATTCTCCCTGAGTCGGTGTGTATGCATCAGTGGTTTACTGGCTCCTGAGCCCCAGACAATCAACCACTGTTGCAGCCGGTGCTCTCCTTCAGGCTCAGCAGACAGGCTGTATACATGAAGACAGCTCTGGGGTTTCCTTAACTCTGCATGTAACATGATGCCCTGTGGCTGTCCCAAAAAATGGAAGTACTTTAGCACAGATGCTAAGACAGAATCAACCCACAATGAGAAACTAGCTTATTGTGTCAGCCCAGGGTTAGGGTTAAAAGGCAAAGGCAGTGATACACCTTCATGCCATGCAGCAGATTACAGTATAACACAATAGGATGTTTATAGTTCTCTGAAGCCAATTTAGCATTTCCCTGTTTTCTCCTGATCTCATGTTATGACTGATGTTTTGTGAATGGGAAAAATAGTTGACACAGAATGTGCCTCTTTTACACTACAAATAAAGACTAGAAACTTGCAATGGCTGAAGCCATTGCGATTGACTGCGGAACAGATCTAATGTGGAAATCTGCTAAAAAAAATCCTTGAAATCCTTTAAAAAGCCTTGAAACTGTTAAAATACTTGATAGATATTTGAAACTCCTGAAGTCCTTGAAATTGTTGAAACCTTTAAACTCCTGAAATCCTTGAAACTGTTGAAACATTGAAACTCCTGAAATCCTTGAAACTTTTTTAAACCTGGAAACTGTTGAAAGTGTGGAAACTCCTGAAATCCTTGAACCTCCTGATATCCTTGAAACCTGGTTAAATTCTTAAACAGCTGAAATCCTTGAAACTACTGAATGTATTGAAAGTGTCCTTGAAACTGAAAAATCCCCTCACCGCTGAAACAATTTGGTTCCTGTAACTAAGGAAACCTGGTCTGTGGTCATTATCTGGTGGTGGTCTGAGTCTTCGTTTGGGTCTTGGTCTGGTGGTATAATGCAACCTATTAGGTTGCATTATACATGAAAAAACCCTATTAAGTTGCATTATACTGGTTTACATGAAAAAAAACCCTATTAAGTTGCATTATACTGGTTAACATGAAAAAAACCCTATTAAGTTGCATTATACTGGTTTACATGGAAAAATCCCTATTAAGTTGCATAATACTGGTTTACATGGAAAAATCCCCATTAAGTTGCATTATACTGGTTTACATGAAAAAAAACCCTATTAAGTTGCATTATACTGGTTTTTACCATGGAAAAACCCCTATTAAGTTGCATTATACTGGTTTACATGTAAAAACCCCTATTAAGTTGCATTATACTGGTTTACATGGAAAAATCCCTATTAAGTTGCATTATACTGGTTTACATGAAAAAACCCTATTAAGTTGCATTATACTGGTTTACATGGAAAAATCCCTATTAGGTTGCATGATTACACTGAAGTCCTTGAAACTGTTGAAAGACCTTGAAACTGTTTGAAGTCCTTGAAACTGTTGAAGTCCTTGAAACTGTTGAAGTCCTTGAAACTGTTGAAACCTTTGAAACTGTTGAAGTCCTTGAAACTGTTGAATCCTTGAAACTGTTGAATCATTGAAACTGTAGAAATGTCTGAAAGAGCTGAAGTCCTATTAAAATGCATGGGCCTATTAAAATGCATTGCAGAATTCTCAATGCAGATTTTTGTCCGATTGCGGAAAAACCGGAAATCGCTGAAGTCCCAAAAGTAATAGCAATAATCTCCCAAACATGTGTGGAAACGTTTTGATGTATAACTGTGGAAATTGTTGAAAATGTGAAAGCTGTGAAACGTGTCAAAAAAAATGGACGGAAAACAGAAAGAACCGGGAAGTACAGGGGAGATCTGGCCCCAGAGAGAGGGGACAGGAGTGAGAGTGGGGAGAGTGTTATGGGGACTTTTTGTTGGTAGGGGAAACCGGAGAACCTGGGGGAAACCTACGCAGACACAGAAAGAACATGCAAATACAACACAGAAAGGCCTGGAGGTAGAATCGAACCAAGGACATTAGCAATAAATTCACGTCTGACAATTTAATGTTTAAAATCAATATAGAAAATAATGAAATTAGCTATGAATAAAAAACAAATAGATATAGATACATGATATGAATAAAAAGGGAAAAATCAATGAATAAAAGATATACCAATGCAAAGACAACAGAGGACAAGGCACCTCAAGCAGAAATAAAAGCCAGAGAGATAAGGAAATGTGTATTAATCTAACAATGGGGACATTTCCCATATTTGAGCAGAGAATTATCATGGATTGTCTGGAGTTGTTTTACAAGGTCACGCAGTGAAAGAGAATCCTTGAAACAGGAGCCAGCAGTGACAGCCTCATCAGTTAAGAACAACCACTCAGCGCTGCTGTAACAATAGCCGTAATACTTAGTGTCTATCAGGCCAATGAGATCCAAAGCACTGTGGCACAATGCTTTCGCTATACGCTATTATTATGACTTTTTTATTTATACATTATTCTTGTGAATGTGTGTTGTGAAGAAATCAGAACACAAACTAATTAGAAAACAGTTATCTTTTGCATCATTGTAGAAAGTATGAGTCACTATTTTATGCTTAAAGTGATAGTCTGTAACTCTAAATTAATTACAAATTTTAAGAATTGTAGTAAATTGACCTCCTGGCCTTAAATGTTGATATAAAATTAGTCATTTTATGAATTCTAATATTACGGGTAAGTCCCGCCCTCCCTTCTCTTAGCTATAGCTCAGAATCCATGGTGCCGTCCATGTTAACCAATCGAGTCATGCTGTCAATCATCGCACTCGTGCTCGTAGCTGTGCGCAAGGCTCAAGCCTTTATAGGCTCTGGAACTTCATGAAAATTGAACAAAGAATTCTGAACATCTGTGCTGAGCTACCCATTTATATACTGAACCTATATCCATAATCAGATCCTCTGCAGATGTCCTATAATGTTAATTGCCGCGATCGTTTTTTGTGTGCATTAAAACAATTTTTTTCATGAAAACTTTAACAAATAATCCTGAAAACCTCCGTGCATGTGTATTAATAATGTATATGTATAATGTGTTCTCTCATTAACATTTAAATGTGATACGGAAACGTAGGTGTAGACCAATCAGAAAGGAAGGGGGAGGGAGCTTGCGTTGTTTTTTTTCAAATCAACTACCTCTCTCTCTCTTTCTGACAAACTGCAGACAATCACTTTAAGGCTGAGAGCTGATTGGCTGAGGGAGGGTGGTTCCATCTTTATAACCTTTCCGCCTGAAAATCTGACCTTGATGGGAGGTTACCATTTAAAAAGATGTGTAAGGCTATTCTACCAACGCTTTGTAATTTTTATTATCAAGATTATTTAGTAATTCGACATTAAATTGCTTTTATTTAACTTCAGTTTTAGATTTGTTTTCAACTAATGAAAATGCAAGAGTTACATTCTAAATAATAATAATCAGACATAAGCAAAATCCGCCAAGTAGCAGCTATATATTTTAAGGCCTTGAAACTTCTCACCACACACTTACATTTCTATCCACCTGAACTCACGACTGCTCAGCAAAAGGTGAACCATGTCATAGTGAAACTGTATTACTAATTTCATCCTGTTTTTACTATTTGTTCTTTAATATTTTGCAGTTCGTTTCTCAAGAGCTTTAGCTTCAAAATTACGTACCAGTCAATACCCCTGTGTACCCCTAGGGGCCCATGTACCCCCGGCTGGGAAACACCATTACAGTATATGCTATAATGAACATTGTGGATCTAGAAGCAGCAGCAGCACAGAGGAGCCCATAGAGGAGGATGTGTCTCTCTCCTCATGCCCATGACCAGCCCACAGCTGGATCACACTATTTTTAGCAGCACTCACACAGCAGCACTGCTCTGCTCAGACAAGGACAGGAGCCATAACACCACATCCAGGTCATATTATATCTACGCCTTTGGTCAGGAACCTCTTCACTGCTCTTGCTTCAGTGTGTTCCCACTTCAACTCTGCCTTCATCGTAAGGCGAAGGCAGAGTCATAAGCAAGAAATAGATGATTCTTTATTAAAAAATATGTATACTCAGATTTATAGTAATTAGTCATTTTAATATTAAGTTTTGGCATTGTGGCAAATCTAATTGAGATATTTTCGACAAACATTATGGTTGCAATGACATTTTTTCACATTATAAAGAGGGAAGCATGAAGATAGGAATGAAAAAAGGTAACATATGCTTTTGAGATTTAAATGGAGGATTCATTTTTGCATTCAATTATGTGCTTACTTCTTTTGGATGTTTTACTTCTAAACTAATCGGAGAAGGAGATGCATTTCAGCACAGGTTTCTAAAGGTCTATATTACAGGATTAGCTGCTTTTATAAGATGTTTTCAAAGCAGTGAAATAATACAGCCTTTGATTTTCTAATTGTGATCATTGCTTTATTATTATTTTGTCTATGTAAGCATGTAGGCTGTGATAGGACCCTCACATAACCATACATTCAGAACAGAGTGAATAGTGAGAGTATAAACATCATATTACTGCTGCGTCAGTGCCCCCCCCCACACCACTCCATCTCCAACTCCACCAGTGCAAGAGAAGCTCTCAGGGTTGGGGTTCATGAACTGATCTAAATACTGTTTAAGGATGTGTCAGAATAATATCCATTTTA